GTGTTTCATGTCTTACCGATTATTGATTGGTTATGCCTGCTGCAGCTCGATTTTTGTCGCGTACGACACGTGATATCCAATGAGTGTATAGCTTTAGAATGAGAACCGGTAAAGCTATTCGCTCATTGGATATCGTATATTGCACGCGACAAATATCGCGTTAATTTGCTGGTATAATAAATAAAGATATGTTTTTATGAATCACTCAATCGACCGTATCAGCGATAAAAAGCATCACGTGGTCAAAATTGACAAATACCAAGTTTCAATTTTAACCACTTTGATCCTTTTCGTCGCTGTAATAAATGTATTGCCAATCGCCGTGAAATTCAACGGTAAAACTCCTAACCCCCCAGCGCCGAGGTTGGCGACCCTTCGATCTGAGTGAGCAGTCGCTTACTTCAAAAGAATCGAAGCAAAGATGGACTCCTGAGAAATTTTTATACACACACCATTGGTCGTCCCCAAGTCTTTGGATCTTCCGGAATATTTCGCCGTTAAATTCTCACCGAGGCGCGCCCGGAGGGCCAGACGTTCTTTTATGATCACGCTCGCGGAGTGTGAACGATGATCGTGCAGGAGCCAGTGCAGGTAATGGAAGAGAAAAAGAGTGATGGAGGAGGAAGAGGAGGAGGAGAAAAAAAGTAAAAGTGTTGAATTTTCCTTGAACCTCCTCACCGTTGTGACATGCGAGATTTTGTACATCGAGCCGCATCCACACGTTGACATCTCGCCGATCGGGCGTGTTCGTTCGCACCTCCGCCGACGGCTTTGACCGCGTCAAACGATTTCCACGATGGTCGCCTCTTAAAGGCAGGATCGTCTCGTTAAAGACAGTTCTTTCGTCCTCGTTATTTATTCGACTTTAATGATAGTCTAAACATGCAACTTTGAGGCCCGGTTATTCCACCTTTTATTAAATTTTACTTGTTGGGTAAGTAGTAAGATTATTTAATCACATACGCGGATTGCCAGATTTACCTAATAGGTAAAATTTACTAAAAGGTGGAACAATCGACCCTGAGTCTGTTTGCCATGTCACAGAAAAACGAGCAGAGCAAAGGAGGGTCCCGGCTATAAATAATCACGAAATTTTGCTATTCTTAAAAATTTTGATAGATAATCACTTGAGAATTAAATATGGGAAGAAAAAGCGTTTCTAAAGTTTATATATATCCATTGTGATCTTTCAGAGCATTAAAAAAATTAACTTATTACGTTATGTTTGCAAATTATGTTAATTAATTTGAATATTGTGCATGTATCAGATAAAAAATAAGATGTTATTACTTAGAATTAAATGTAATAAAGTATACATTGTATGCCGTTTTATCAATTCAAAGAATATTGAATATATTTTATAGCATTATATATAAATAATTAAAATAATTCTTTTAAATATGCATTTTAAAGACTAAGGGTCGATTGTTTCATTTTTTGATCAATTTTATCTGTTGGGTAAATAAGATTATCCAATCATGGATTATCAGATTTATCTCACAGGTAAAATTTATCAAAAGATGGAACAACTGGCTCTAAGTAACATTAGGTGCATCTAGAAACACAACCGTTTACTGAACGCTCAGTAAGCTCTTGGCATATCCTATTAGAACTAAGAATATAGATCAAACAGATACAAAAGCTCACTGAGCGCTCAGTTAGCAATCGTGCTTTTGGATGCATCTAACATATTGCATCATTTATGTAATAGTGTATAGTAAAGAACTACGCTTCTCTTTATATTACATTGGAATCTAAAGACTTATAGATATGTATTACATTACTCACAAGTATTTTTTTCTAAATATTTTTATTTTTTTAATGTAATTAATTATTTATATTACTATTGCACAATCAATTACTAAGATAAATGTTGAATTTTCCAATTTTAGGCGGCCATATGGCATTGTTTGAATCATTATGCTTATCCAGATGCTATATTCTTGGCGGAACGGTTATGTGCAGAAGGTAGCATCATCTACTTTGTTTATTGATTACATTATTCTCATATTTTTATAATAAATTTGATTACATTTATATACATACTAATGTATTACATCAATATTATAGTGGACACGGAGGAAAGTTTGTTTCTTTTGGCAACATGTTATTATCGTTCTGGTCGGGTTAGACAAGCTTATGCCTTATTATCCCAGAAGGCACCCAATTCAGCACAATGTAGATTTTTACTAGCAAAATGTTGTTATGATTTGGAAAAGTAAGTAACATGACATTTTATTTTTATTGTGCTCTGGATATTGAGAACATGTGTAAATCTTTTAAAAATTTTTAGATATGCGGAAGCAGAAGCTGCGATAATTGGTGGATATTACAAACAACTGAAAAATTTGGAAGAAATAATAACTCAGTTTGGAGAACAAGCATGCTTTTCTTTGCAGATAATAGCAAAGATTTATTATAAAATGATGCGTACTACGAGAGGTAATGAAGCCCATAAGCTGGCTTTGAAATTAAATCCCTTCCTCTGGCACTCGTTTGAAGAACTTTGTAATGTTGGCGAGAAGGTAGATCCTGCTAAGGTTTTTCAGTTAGATAAATTAGACTCTTTCGCTATGTGCCATGGTACTGTATCCACGCTTAGCTACGTCACTGAACCAGATTTTATCGTACCTGGAAATGGCAACAATACACCTATATCGAATGGCACTAACAGGTACATATATAATTATATATTATAATAATTTTTATTTTTAATTAATTTATTAATATTTAACATTTTATTTTGTGTATTACAGTACACCCGTGACGATAGCATCAACGCTGATAAATGGCGGTCAAACACCTCAGGTGCGATTGTGTTCCTCTATAGAGGATTCGCCACAAAATGCGTCGATTCACTACAGCAATTGTTCTTCGATATCACCGAGGACGAAACTATCGCGTTATCGCAGTATGTTCAGTAATTCCATGAGTCCACTCACACCTAGCTTCGGTATTTTGCCATTGGAGAACAATACACCCGAGCAGACAGTTCCACCTTCGCATACGACTCTCACGGAAGCCAATGACCAAAAGAGCTTGGCGAAACGCGTCAGTAGTCTAAGAGCTCATGTAGGGGTGAGTGCAATCTTTCAGTACCGTAATGCGTACAGTAACTAATTTTTTTGCATTTTTCAGCAATTAATGTCAAGAAAAGAAACACCGTTGCAACAAGGCAAATCAGTATTTTCCCAATCGGGTAATACAAGCAATACTGCCAATATTGTGACAGTAACAGCACCTAATCCTACTTCACCTCCATCGCCGACATTTCAGGGCACCAATGTTAGACGATCGTCGCGTCTTTTCAGCCATAATTCCGTAAAGGTACAATTTTTTATTTATTCTACTTCTGAACTAGAAATTGTAAAATTCATACAAAAATATTATTAGGCACCCATTTTGGTTAATTCATTTATCTTTTAATTACATTCTCTATGGGTGTCTATTACTCATTCTGTCGATTACTGTCGATTTGATATAACACATCTATTTCAGGAAAACAATAAGTCACCTAATAGGAATAAATTTGCAACTCCAAAGTCTCCGTCTCGGAAAACGAAAGCGAGACTAGCCAAGGCAAATTTAAACAAAACCAACTTTAATGAATTAAACGAGAGAAATAGGAACGAAAAAGAGAAAAGCGAAACGATCACATCTGAGAAAGCTGTGGCTAATGCAAACGCTCTTAACGCCCAAAATAATAATATACACTCTGGTATAACATTACAAAAGCAATCGGCAGGTATATGTTAATTATATTTAATTTATCTGATATCTTTCGACTGTTGCATAATTTAAAATATTCTTGTCTGTAATTTTTTAGAGGGATTGATGTCTTTGTTACGAGAATTAGGAATGGCGTATCAGCACTTGAGTCAGTTCAAATGTACGCATGCAGCTCATATACTAAGTATACTGCCATCACGACACTACAATACGGGCTGGGTACTTTCTATGCTAGCTCGTGCACATTTTGAAATGATGGATTATAAAAAGGCTGCTAGGTAATAAATTTATATTAATTGTTACTATTAAAGAAATATATTGATTTTGGCACTTTTTTCCATGTATAATGAAATAGACGTACGTTCAAACTTTAGAGCGAAAAAATGAAAAAAACGAAACATTAGAAGTTCAATTACAATAACCGGTTTTTTTTTTCGATACATTTAAGGGTATTTTTCTGATACATTATAGATTTGTTCGCGTTGCATGCTCTGACATACTCCAATATGCTCCATAGTTCCTACTCGAGTGTGTTTGAGTAAGAGCTGTGATAGGAGCATGTTGGAGTATATCGCAATGCGATGAGAACAAATCTTGTATTTCTCTTTAATTCTCTTTTTTTTTTTAATTCTGTTTGCTTCATTTTTTTCGTGCAAAGTTATTTCGCTGAAGTGCGACAGTTAGAGCCACAGAGGACAGAGTTGATGGAGATTTATAGCACTGTTCTGTGGCATCTACACGCGGAAGTACAGTTGTCTACGCTTGCTCAAGATCTAGTTTCCCAAGACCGTAATTCGGCGGCGGCATGGTGCGCCACGGGCAATCTCTTCTCGGCGCAAACGGAACACGAAACTGCGATCAAATTTTTCCAAAGAGCTATTCAGGTAATGTGCGTTAATCTTAATCGTGATATGCTAGCAATGCATATATGATTTATTGTATTGAAAGTAATACACCATTCTCTGATTACTTATTAGGTGGATCCTAATTTTCCATACGCCTATACATTACTAGGACATGAATATGTTTTGACTGAGGAACTAGATAAAGCGATTACTGCTTTTCGTAACGCCATTAGACTCGATCCCAGACATTATAATGCATGGTAAGTACTAAAAAATTTCGTTACTATCATAATATATATGTTTCATATTTTTTGATTGTCGTCTGAATTTGTATGTAAAACATTTCTCCATGTCATTAAAGGTTCGGATTAGGAACGATATTTTCAAAACAGGAGCAATACAGTTTAGCGGAGTTACACTTTAAACGGGCCTTACAAATAAACCCGCAGAATTCTGCGTTAATGTGTCATATAGGTGTCGTGCAACACGCCCTGAAGAAAACCGATCAGGCGTTGAAGACTTTGAACACCGCGCTAATGAATGATCCGGATAATACTTTATGTAAATTCCATCGTGCGAGCATCAACTTCTCTATTGGTCGACATATGGAAGCTCTAAGAGAATTCGAGGAGCTAAAGAATATTATACCCAAAGAATCTCTAGTCTATTATTCGATAGGAAAAGTAAGAGATCAATTAATCGAATAGATTTTTTTTCATTTTGACGTCTCTTATATAAATATATCTTTATATTTGCAATAGGTGCATAAAAAATTAGGCAATACCCATCTTGCGTTAATGTACTTTAGTTGGGCAACGGATTTAGATCCAAAGGGTGTTAATAGTCAAATTAAGGAGGCTATATTGAGTCCAGGTCAAGGAGATGATGACTCTCCACCAACACAATCAGGTATGTAGTTATCAAATATAGTGAGAACTCTATATATATATATATATATGAAATTATCTAGAATCTTAAGATCATTTATGTAAAAAATATTATTTACCATTTTATATTTATATAAAACAGTTCGTAATATTTTTATCACAAATATATATTATTAATAACATGATTTATATAATTAATTTTCAATTTCACAAAATTATTGTATTATAGATGAACAGCAAGCACAAAGTAACTCAATGGAACAGGATGTTGAAACTAGTAGAGAAGGAAGTGCCGCGCCACTTGCCGGAAATGTCTCGGTCGAACCTCATGCCGATGACAGCGACGATAGTTTATGAAAACGATATGCAAGAAGACTTCCGTGAAAAAGAGATGGAGCGTTACTACCCTTATTATCAGTCATCCAAATCATTTTTCGCCAATCTCGCTTTGCTTAGTCGGAGTCACTGATGCGCGATCATTGATTTAAATTGAACGGTTGTCGACATCTTTGCAAACTATTCCATACGATACATATAATTCGGTTAAAAAGAATTATATTATTTTTCCGTATCATCAAATTTTCCTTTTATCTTGCACGAATTCGGGGATTCTTATATATACATGAATGCGATGTCTTCGCAAAAATATAAGACTCGCATATCGTATCCATCGACTGTATATTACGCGTTTGCCTCTGTATATTTTTTTACGATTGTTTGATTATCTTTTCTATTTTTTCATGCGCTCTTAATCATCCCTCTCTTTCTTGTACTTCGTCCCGTTTCGCGAATAAGTCGCTTTAAGTCAAACATGATTCAGAGACGAGAACTCGTAAAGAGTTTGGCTTTAATCAGACTTGATTATAATAAAGAAGAAAAGAGAAGGATCGATTTAATTTGCGACGAGATATTAAAGATTTACGGTTGAGTAGAGACTGTATCACGTTGCGATAAGATGAACGAATATAACCGTAAGCATGTCATATATAGTTAGGTAATACGATTAATTGTTCGCGAATAAGGAAGAAGAGTCTTGTGTAAATGTAAATTATTATTACTATGTATTTACCGCTATGATTACTATTAGTGCTATCATTACTATTATTTGTATGATTATCATTGTTGATTTAGTGATTGTGAAGGTATCGTTGGCTGCTCGGCGTCAGAGCGGCCGATAGACGATCGTGCAATTCTCGTCATGAAGATCCCCTCGGTTGATCGAACATACGAGTCCGAAACACCGCGACTGCGATTTCGGTGGTTCAGTAATCGCGCGATTACATTCGGTTTTTCGATCTCAACCTGATATCCGGAATTTAGCATAATTCGCCTCGCAAATGTCTATATATATATAGAAATACTCGTCGGATTATATTCTTAATAGTGCTGGACAGAATTTATGATGTTTACGGCGTCGGTCTTCGTATCGATATTAAGTGTACAATGCAAATTGTGTCGTTACTCCTCGAATATTGTCGAATTTGCTGGAACAGAGATCGCAACGTGTTGCATTAGGAGAAACGGCGTATATATTAATAATATACGTTTATTTTTAATTTTAAACGAATTGAGTTGTGATCCTAGTGCGCTGGCATCCGTCGCGCGTGACTGTAACATTTTATATTGTACACGTAATTAAACGAAAGACGTCACACGGAAAAAAAGAAAAAAGTTGTACACAAGTCGTCGACTAAAAAATACGTCTGTGTGATATACGCAGATACGCGTATCCTGTTTCTTCCGCTCCTTTATACGGGATGGATACTCTACACGATTTTAAAGGGTGATTCCTCACGTAAATTTAAGACGAAAACTTCATATAACATATATTTCCACATGTTCAAAATTTCATCAAAATAATCTGAATGGTTTTTGAAATTTTTGAAAAAGAATCTTTTCCTTCAACTTTGACACCTTGTCTCTTTGATTTGAAACTAATCAAACTACTGTTTCGGGCATATGTGCAGTTTTCCTCTTAAATTTGTGTGAGGAATCATCCCTTACAATCTTAGAACTAGTATTCACACTGTATGTCTCTGTCCCTTTTCAATTTATTTATTTATATTTATCTCTTTTTCGTATCTCTTTTCCTTAGCGTTTTCACATTTATCCCTGCGTTTTTGACGGGGAGCAAAATGGGAGCGAGAGTGGGAGATCTCTTTGCATATGTCCGACATATTGCATCTAATCTCGTTATTTATTAACGACGTCTAATCGTTATTTATTGTTTGATCCACGTACGTTTAATTGCCGAGCGGAAATGGAGTCAGTCGTAACTATCTTCCAAAGAGTTTAGGAAAACCAATACGCGCGTGTAAATGTATGTGATGATGTCTGGCTCGCCTTTACCCAGCCACCGCCATACAGAAACCGAGAAGGTTCGATCGAAGCCAACAATCGCTGCCGTGTTACTCGTTACAAAGAGGTGTATGCGCAAAATAAAAGGCCTGCACTTTTTACGAAACTATCTTGACGACTTCACTCCTCACCTATTTGTCCAATATATTTAACATTGACTTTTCTTGCGCGGCGAAAAGATTAAAAAAAAATTTCATTAAAAACTTGTAGCGTATATAAAAATCATAAGAAAGACGGCAGCGTGTTTACGGCGAGGTGAGATAACAGAGAAAATGATAGCTGATACGAGCTACTGCCTGAGAGGGGGAGCGAGACGGTGGACGCGACCCGCGGGGTCGTCCGTCTCTTTCGTCTTCTTCTGTTATCGTTTACTACCGTTGACAAGAATCCGACAGTGGTTTGCAAAGTGTGTTGTTGAAGCGATCGAATCGATGAGACGAACGGATCATACGGCGAGCATGACTCCGCGAGCGTCTAGAAGGGACTCGGATGTCGTTCTGTCCAACTTCGGCCACAAGGAACATCTCTTCAAGTTCCTCGTTATTGGCGATTACGGTGTCGGTGAGTCACGGCGAGATGCGCAATTGATAAACTTACCTTATTTGATATATAAATTTGAAATACAATTTTCATATCAAAAGATGTATTAAAAGTGTAAAACTCTTATAAAACAAATTGATAGCTCAAAAACTATTCATTATTGCATCTCGTATTTCTATTATATTTTTCATTCACTACGTTATATAAGCTACGTTATATTTGAAAACTACTTTATTTCACCGGATCTAATTTTCTATATAATTGGTGCAAATCTTTTTCGGTACTCTCTAAATTGCAGTAATTCTCTCACAGAATTTAACGTAAGATCTATTTTAATAGTTTTCCGATTTAGATTTTCATAGAAATTATTTATTTTAGGCAAAACTGCGCTGGTCAGAAGATATACGGAAGGTAATTTGTTGCAATTTGTCTCTCTTGCCCATTATCGAAGTTAATTAACAATTCTTGCCCAGAATCGTTTCGCAAGAAATTTCCGAAAAGTTTAAACGTGACGTGCGTTTAATCGCAATCACAGTCGTGGATCGCATGTCGCGAGAGGATAGGTATTGCGGGAGTGTACATTCAGAAAAGGGAAAGAGAAATGCGTACAAGCCGGCTTATCCGTCTTAGCGATATGTACGTCAAACACCGCAGCTGCGATACGACACTATTAATCCGGACGTCACCCGGCGCACACTCTCGAAACTGTCTTTTCCAGGGAAGTTCTCCTCGAATTACAAGATTACCATAGGCGCCGATTTTGCGATAAAAACGCTCGATTGGGATCCGCAAACTAAAATAAACTTACAGCTATGGTACTTGTAGACGCATCATTTATATTGCTTGCTATTTTATTGTCTTCAAGGGCTCCCGCATGTATTTTGCAACCCCTCGAAATTATTCTTAATCCCGCAGAATATATAATTATAAAGATAATTTAATTTTTGGATGTTTTAGGGACATCGCTGGTCACGAGAGATTTGGATATATGACGAGGGTCTATTATAAATACGCGTAAATATGACTTTAATGTATCTTTTATTATCCGCCTTGGATTAGTTTGTTTCTTTTAGTTTGTTTCCTTTGTATTAAATACGTTTATTATCATAAATAGATATACATAGCTCTAATTTCATGGTACACTGTTAAATTTATAACGGCAAATTATATTCAATTTGAGTTATTTTTGATCATTTCTATATGTTGTCATTACTACTCAAATAAGTCGTTTTAACTAAAACAATGAAATAAACAATGTAACTCAAGGAAATGTATTAAATTTGACTTAAATTTTTTAAATTTATTATGACATACGTTAATTACAAAAGATGTTGTTTATATTTTGAAGTCACAGAAATGAATTGACTTACATTTCACGTACATAGAAGTTAAAAATAAGATGTTATTTAACTCAAGAAATTTGGTTGTCATTGCTCTTTTCATATCTAACAGTGTATGACTAATCGAAGTAATTAAGATTAGGCGTTTTAACTTTTACTGAATCTGAAAAATCTCAACTGTATTTTCTATTTTGTTATAATTTAATTTATTTTTTTTTTTTTTAATTTGTCAATCTCGCTCATTGGTTTGACCTACACGTAGGGTAGCCGCGGCTCTCGTATTCGACATCTCACGAGCGGCGACCTTCCAGTCGATGAAGAAGTGGCTGAACGATCTCAGGGAGAAGGTCGCACTGCCAGACGGTTCGGGTATACCAGTCGTGCTCCTGGCGAATAAGTGCGACATATCGGTCGCCGTGACCGACGAGCAGATCTCCAAGTTCTGCAGAGAGAACAAGATACACGCTTGGTACGCGACTTCCGCGAAAAACAACACCAACGTTGGTAAGTGAACGATCAGCTTATTCTCTGCTCATCTTTCCCGTATATTTATATCCTTAAAAAAGTTATCTTACTTATTGCATAAATATCTATTAATGTTTGAAAAGTAATAATTATTAGTATTATCATTAATGTTTTTAATTATTAATAATATTAAAAGAAATATACAAAAAGAATAATTATAATTGTAAGAGCTTACACATTGTTGTTTTACTTCTGTAAAAAAATTTGTGATATTACTAATTAAAAAGAGGGATGTTGGAGGAGTGACTAAATTCTAGCCTCAAACAACGAACATACTTATCGCGTTATACATATTTAAATTCTAATAGTTTTTGATTAATTACCGAAATATTTTGATTTTTAGATTGATTGTCTTTGATATAGTATATGTGTACGTATATAATGATTTTTCTTCTACGTTCCCAATGTTTCCGCAAGATACATCACTCGACTTTTCTTAAATGGCCCTTTGATACGATATATGTATAATTTATACATTTCGGTATTTTGTCATTTTTATCGAAAAACATTCTTAATTCAACATCCTTCTTTGCAGAAGCAGCGATACGCTATTTGGTGGACAAGGTGCTAAGTTCGAGATTCGACAACGGTATACGAGATTCAATTCAATTACGGCACGAGAGCACGTTGAGTCGCGAAAAATCTATGTGCTGCAAATAGAGCGATATATACACATGCATGAACGATCATCTTAGAATTATTGAGAATACATATAAATCAACGTCATGAACAGATAATTGCGAGATCATCAAACACGGTGCTAATATGATGATAAAACGAAAGCTACGAAAGTGTATCGTTGGAAGATTTATATACATATTGCCATAGTTACATTTGCTTTATGTGATAAACCATTGCCATTATCATTTGTTGACCGCGTGTTACGTCCTCTTTATAAATTTACGTAAATAAATTACAGAAAATAACATGATGAACTTATTAATAATTATCCTTTTTTAATTAAAATCGAAAAAATAATTTTTAATTAAATAAAAAATTATTCAAATTCTCTGAAATTCCATGAAAATAAAAGGTGCTATTATTATTTATCCGTCATGCTATAATAATGTTCTCTTATAAATTTACATATATAATAAATAATAGATAAAAAATAATTGCAATAAAACTTATCATAGTTGTTCTTTTAATTAAATCCAAATTAATTCTCTGAAATATTAATATTTATTAAAAGCAACTGAAAAAATAAATGGAAGGTACCGTTATTGTTTACATTTGCAACCATGCTAATATAATTAATAATATTCTGTTTATAAATTGACATGTCACGTTTATAATAAACTTTGAATGTAATTCAAAATTAACAATAATTAATAAATTGTGATTTTTTTTTTGCTTAAATTAAATTAATCTGAAACATAGTTTTTATTAAAAATAGCAAAAAATAAATGATTTTATAGTTCTTCTTTCTTGTTCTTTATTACTGACATTTGGAATGTCAGATGCAATAAACATGGAAGACGTTTTGCAAATATTGTTATTTTTGCTTGTAAATTATGATAACGCACAAGCCTATATACACAAACATATTTTGAATAAGTTAATTTTACTCGCTGTAGCTCTGATACCATTTTATCAGGCATTTAAGAGTGCAGAGACATTTAAGTATTTAAGAATAGCGCCGATCGCATAGAGATAATAACCGTTTTCAGGTTAAGTTAGGTCAATTTGAAGGAAAGTACAATACGTCGCAGCAGTTACAAGTTATACAGTGTTACGTCGTAGCTCGTAGAGATCAGTGCACGCCATTAAGCGAACGATTCTAAACTTATGGAAGTTTAGAACGCGCGTTTAATTGCATTTTTTTCAATTCGTGAAGTGTAGAATATAGAGATTAAACTCGTTCTTTATTCATAACGGAAATAAAGAATAATAATGACTGATAACTTTCCAGATGGCGTAAATACGGGTAAGCGTACTAGTATATTAAGCAAAAAATAAGATAAGTAAATTAAATAAGGAAGTAAATTATATTTTAAGTAAGTAAAATTAAGAAGCGGAATGACGAAGTTAAATATTAGGTGTACAAAAAAGTTCTGAGCTTTAGATTTGATACAACCGAAATAACAATTTAAATTTTATATATCTTCCCGCCCTTTTGGGGTTTTAAAACAGTAACATTTAACCTCCTGAAATGCGATACGGTTTGGCGTTTGATGCACATAACCTCAAAAATCAGTAGTGTTCACGATGGCAATTACAAAAGAGCATATTCGATTTTCCATCCACTTCGCGTTTCATCTGAAGAAAAATGCTGCTGAAGCCACTGAAATGATTTGTGCTGCATATGGAGAGAACGCTGTAAGTCATGCAACATGCAAAAGGTGGTATCAAAAGTTTCGCCAAGGAGATTTCAGTCTTAAAGATGAATCGCGTGCTGGACGCCCTGAAAAGATTGAAACGGACGAATTGCAAGCACTGCTGGATATAAACTCTGCGCAAACTGAAAAGGAGCTTGCAGAACAGCTTGGCGTTACGCAGCAAGCCATTTCCGTACGATTATAATAAATAAAGATTGAATTTTACAAAAAAAAGCTCAGAACTTTTTTGTACACCTAATACTTGAGAAAAAAAATTTCTTTTTTTATTTTTTTATTATATTAGATTTGAATAGTGGAAGTCTAATTAAGTTATATTAGATTTGGATAGTGGAAGTTAAATTTGTTGTTATATTTTCCGATACAGTGCTAGGAAGTAAACGATTATCCGAGCTCGGGAAAACGCTAACACATGAACATCTGGCTCTTGATTTTCGCAAATTTTACTTACCACCGCCGAAACATCTTAAACGTTTCCCTGTCGGCAGCTTATCTCTCCAAGATGTCGGATACGTTCGACAATATCCGTAAGTCTAATCGAAATATCCTCCTTTCGAATTATCTTTTCTCCTCCTGTTTAATAAAATAGTCCCTTTAAAATAGATCGCTTTAGATCCGAAAATATCACATTACTCACAGTCCGTTTCGTATAAAATGAGAATGTTCACAATAACTAAATAATTAAATTAATAAAAATTATGTTAAAGATAAATATGTATTTAACTGTACATTTTACATCAGATATAGCAGCTTATATAACTTGGAATTTTCCGGTAATGATGCGGCAAAAGCTGTCTATAAAGACGTGGAATTATTTAAAGAGGCCGGTGGCGGAACTATCGTGGAGAACAGCAGCCACGGTTTGAAACGCGATATTTCTTTAATGAAGAACGTTAGCCAGTCCTTGGGAGTTAACGTGATTGCGGGAACCGGTATAGTATGATATATGTAATAATATTATTTTATTTAATAAAATATAATTTAGAATCACATAATAATACATTGTTATATTATTTGTTACAAATTTTCTCAACTTAAACAGGCCATTACCTCGCCAGTACACAAAACGCATCGACTCTTAATATGACCAAAGAAGAAATGTACAATCTAATGTGCAAAGAGTTGGAAGAAGGTTGCGTGGAATATCCCGAAGTAAAGGCAGGATTTATCGGAGAAGTTGGCAGTAATTGGCCGATCGAAGGTATGTACGCAATTGTACTTAAACAAGTTACCGAATG